ATCGACGACCCCTAATTCCTGTAACAGCTTGTGAAATTAAAACAAGTCAAATTCTGAATATGAAAAATCGACTTAAATGCACAGCTGTTGTTAGTGTCGTTTATTTCGCCACGATTGTTTCCGTTTTCAATTTTCTTGCATACAATTCACAATTGTGCAACGTTGTTCGTTTCTTTAAACCCACGTCCGACTATAAAGGATACATGTACTATAAAACATGAAGCCATGTAAAAGAAATCCATCAGAGCTGCGGCATTCTTCAGCAAATAAGGTCAAAGGTCAAGGGTTGGGAGCTTATAGATTTTGTTCATATATATATAATTTACCCATGTAACAGTTTGTGAAGACACATAACTAATCTGAGTGAGATCAACATGATATGGTGTATGGTGATGGAATGTAACGCACGATTGGTGGGAACTTATAGGGCGGTAGTCGTAGTGCCGCGTCCTGTTCGATATGGGACTCACAGCGACGTACACAACGCGTGTAAATTACATTGTTTATTTACGTGAAACTCGAACACACGCTACAGGATGACCACTGCTTCTCTTGTTTATCTTCCCCACGAAAAACAGAAAAGCTTTAACCGATGCGATTGGTCCATTCAATTATCTGCATCATTAATACACCGGAACTATTTTCAATACAATGTTGTGATTTGTAATATCATGACTGCTTCAGGTTTATATACACATGTAGCGTAGCTGTTATTACCACGATGTACCGTCAAGTTCAAATCCCAAACGAAGAGGCCGACCGGAACCCTCGCGAGTTTACCCCGGATTTACTAGTATATTAATGGGGAGGCCAAAGCTACTAACGGACACGATTGTTGGTTAAAAAACCACATGTGTTCTTCGATATTTTGTGCGGAGGAATATATATATATGTATATATATATAAAGGAATTTGTCCTGGGGATTGTGAGTGATTTTAGAGCATAGCTGGGCAAATTAAAGCGGGAGGGTCGTCACCTGCGCAAGCGCGAGAGTTGAGTCCCAAGCGACGATAACAACACTCACTAAAAACGCAAAGGCTCATGGGTAGACGCTTATTTGTAAACAATGAAACGCTATGGCCATCTGACGCATGCGCAGGTGACCACTTCCCCGATTCAACTTGCACAATGAACACGAACTCATTAGTGGTTGTGTGATCTGGATTAAAACAAACTGCTGCCGAGACTGATTAATCAATTGAATTTTAAATTAAAAAGCGTACCCTTAATTTAATTTTATAATGCTGTCGTCAACTCGCTACTTATTGGGCCTGCCATGTGGCGTTTAACAGAGTGCGCCCTCACTAGACACATTCATACTATACTTACCTAAGGTGCACGCGATTTACATGATTATGATTAGTTTGACGTCATTATTAAAATCAAGGCTTCAACATTTCCCCCCGACTATTTTACAATTTTAATGAAATACACAAAATTAGTAGACACAATGTTATCAGAAAATTCATCTGCATGCCACGAGGTAGAAATTGCAAACATTTTGAAGGCCATTACACTGTGTTGATTGTCCGACAACCACTTGAACGACCGCCATCTTTAATCACGATTCAGAGAGTTATTATTGTGATTACGATTCACAAAGCACCATTATGTATAAAGACAGATACATGTAGTGAACCACGCTGTGTGAGGGCGCTATTTATACAAGCACCACTGATGAGTCACGGTAACAACCATTCACAGTATACACTTTTGCTCCCTCTAGCGACGAAGATGTGTTGATACGCTGCCTTGGCAACGAGTTCAAAGTCAGGAGCAAGTGCCTTTATCTAAATGGAGTACATGTATACAGATGTTCGGCTAAATATTATCCCTTTTTCGACTCGAGAATCTGTAAAGAAATGTATTTCAGCATTCAACATTAACAGATTTAGGCTAGCATATATTATAGGAGTGGCCGTATTGGAACACGGTATACTATTATGGGATGGAGGTAGGAAAGTAGAATTATGATTGACAAGTTTGGGTAACCAGGCATTCAAGTTATCCCATTTTTGAATTTTTCGAATTTTGCTTTTTCACTAAAATAATTGCTTGTTATTGTTGAAATTACTGAGTATTTTCTGTTAAAATATTTTTACAAACGCTTTCGCAAAAAAACTCATACCAACTCTTTATATTTAGTCGGTTTATTAGTGTTTCGCTCATTGCAAATGTTTACTCCACCAACTAAAATATATTTACTGTTATTATGCAAATTACGATGGCCTCAAGTTGAGTGCACCACTGTATAATGATGGGATGATTAGCATTCATAGCAAGAGAAACTATATGATATCATATGTACTAGTAAGTTATTCTATTTTTTAAAACCCACTTTTCGTAAAGGATGCCATATTGAAAAACATGATTTGCTCATCACTGAATGACGTATATTGTGCATAAATTATGTGACATTATAACAACATGCACTAGAGTTAGGCCCTTGACTTGCTGTTTGGTTGAGGTCTTCTTCACTATCACGTGGATCTATTTGTCTGGATGAAAAATCGCCTATTAAAACACATCCTGGTATATTGTGTCTCTAAATGTTCATACATCCTGGTATATTGTGTCCCTAAATGTTCATACATCCTGATATACTGTGACCCTAAATGTTCACACATTCTGGTATATCGTGTCCCTAAATGTTCATACATCCTGGTATATTGTGTCTCTAAATGTTCATACATCCTGATATACTGTGACCCTAAATGTTCACACATCCTGGTATATCGTGAACCTAAATATTCACACATCCTGGTATATCGTGAACCTAAATGTTCACACATCCTGGTACATCGTGTCCCTAAATGTTCACAAATCCTGGTATATCGTGTCTCTAAATGTTCACACATCCTGTACATTGTGTCTCTAAATGTTCATACATCCTGATATACTGTGACCCTAAATGTTCACACATTCTGGTATATCGTGTCCCTAAATGTCCATACATCCTGGTATATCGTGTTCCTAAATGTTCATACATCCTGGTATTTCGTGTCCCTAAATGTTCATACATCCTGATATACTGTGACCCTAAATGTTCACACATCCTGGTATATCTGTCTCTACATGTTCACACATCCTGGTATATCGTGTTCCTAAATGTTCACACATCCTGGTATATCGTGTCCCTAAATGTTCACACATCCTGGTATATCGTGAACCTAAATGTTCACACATCCTGGTATATCGTGAACCTAAATGTTCACACATCCTGGTACATCGTGTCCCTAAATGTTCACACATCCTGGTATATCGTGTCCCTAAATGTTCACACATCCTGGTATATCGTGTCCCTAAATGTTCACACATCCTGGTATTTCGTGTCCCTAAATGTTCACACATCCTGGTATATTGTGACCCTAAATGTTCACACATCCTGGTATATCGTGACTCTAAATGTTCACACATCCTGGTATACCGTGTCCCTAAATGTTCACACATCCTGGTACATCGTGTCCCTAAATGTTCACACATCCTGGTATATCGTGTTCCTTATTGTTCACATATCCTGGTATATCGTGTTCCTAAATGTTCGCACATCCTGATATATTGTGTCTCTAAATGTTCACACATCCTGGTATATCGTGTCCCTAAATGTTCACACATCCTGGTATATCATGAACCTAAATATTCACACATCCTGGTATATCGTGTCCCTAAATGTTGACACATCCGGGTATATCGTGACCCTTAATGTTCACACATCCTGGTACATCGTGACCCTAAATGTTCACACATCCTGGTACATCGTGACCTTAAATGTTCACACATCCTAGTATATCGTGTCTCTAAATGTTCACACATCCTGGTATATCGTGTCTCTAAATGTTCGCACATACATAGAATTATATTCAATTTGAAACAAAAGAATTGTTCTTACTAAATTGAACTATAAATACTAAAAGTGATTCAGAGAAAGCTGAAACAGTCCCACTTTTCCAATCGCGCCCTCCAGTGACAGTGCATTTGCCATCAGCTTTGTGTAGAACAGAGGGCGCATGACTCGTTTAAACAGAAACGTGAAACTGACGTTTATTCTCAAAATAATTACATGTACGTCACTGATGTCTTAATAAAGTATATTTTAAATACACCAATATACTATATTTCATTTAACCAAATAAGGTTAGTGAAATAATTTTGCCGCCACAACGAATATACCGAGGTTCACGGGAGACACAGTTATAGACTTAGGGTCCTTTCTGGGATATGTGACAAATTATTGCGCACCTAGGGGGTCAGTATTAATTATGTTTACAAATGTAAATGTTATCTATTTACACCAATTTCTTTCCTTTATTTTAAATTTACAATGCCGATGTAATATTCATCCATTTAAAATTGTTTATATTTAAGTAAGATAAGTAAATGAAATTTGAATTTAAAAATAATTTACGATATTATATCTTTCATCCAACCATACCGTGATGTAATTTTATATTCATACAACCCTTGGTCAACGGACCAATCAGATTAACTGGCAGCGTCGAAGCACCGATACAAGGCAGAATTTAATACGTCGAAAAACACTGTCAAGAAGTAAGCTGCTCTTTGATTGGCCAGACTATTCAGTCTTAAGTTTGGGTGGCCAATCAGAAATTTACTCTACATTTGCAGACAGTGTAATATGCAAATGACCTTCAGTTTGAAATGTGCTGTTCAGTTGTCTTCTTTAGTCTCCTTGCCAACGTTCTTTTTGTTGGTATTAATACCTTCAAGCTCTAGGTAAGTTTTGCAATCAGGCTCCGGAAACTTCGGTTTCTCTGTAACCTGTAAAATACGGAGTTCAATGCAAATTGAGTTATTCAGAGTTCTTCACCAAAATAGCGCCCTCTAGCGATGAAGGCTGATGTGACGTAAATAAGTAAAAAGTCTGAAAGCAGTTCACAGTGATCTATAGTTTCCCGTCGATAAAAATGCTTCGACAGATTTCGTCGTTCTTCGTCGCTAGAGGGCATTACTTCCGGTAACGGAAGTTAGGATGGATGAAAGCCGCTGAAATAAAAATTTCAAGATTCCACAATGCAAAGGTCTATCGAAAATAAGCTACAATGTAATGTCCAATGTAATCACAGACCAATGTAGGCAACGCCACCTACCCTCAGTGCGAAGAAGAAAATAACCAGCACGGTGCAACTCGTGATGCCAAAGAGAAGAAACATCGTTCGTGCACCGTACAGATCGTAAAGTGCGCCACCAATAAGATTTCCAGCGAATGTGCCAAGACCCATGTGCATCATGTATAGAATTCCCTGAATGGTTGTCATGGAAACTGTAGGAACATCCGCAGCAAAATATGACGTAAGAGCTATGCTGATAGCTGCCGATGAGATACCTGTAGGACAAAAAATAATGACCGGATTCCATGATTCACTTTCCAAAATTGAGTTGTAATAGCTGATGTTCTACGATGGTAAAAAATAATGACGTCACTGATGTTTGAGGGCAGCATTCGTTTCAGGTAGTTATGCCATGACCACACTATCCGAATCAACACAACATTTAAAGCGGGAGGGTCGTCACCTGCGCAAGCGCGGGAATTGAGTCCAAAGCGACGATAACAACACACGCCAAAAACGCAAAGGCTCATGGGTAGACGTTTGCTTGTAAACAATGACTATGGCCATCTGACGCATGCGCAAGTGACGACTCCCCCGCTTTAATAAAAATTCAGGTGGGGTAGAATAAATGAAGATACTTATTTGTATCCAAACCACGCTTGTGTATGGTCATTCTAGTATAATAAAGACGAAAAAAACCTTCATTTTCAGTCGGGTTTCAATAACATACGATAATTTGATATGTAAAGGTGACATTTTCCAAACCGGAACACATCTTGCAAAGCATCATGGGTACAGGAAGTGATAATAGAATGTTCGTTACTAGTACTGTACCTTGTAAACACTCTCCCGGTAAGACGAACCAGGGGTTGTAAATTTGTGAATATATAATGAATCGTACAGTGTATCCGCCCAGACCGCACATTATGACCCATATGTGACCTATGACCTCTATGACGTCATGCACAAATATATACATAAGCACGTTGGAGGAGAGGCTGATGAAGCTCGCGATTCCCAGCAGTAAAGGTACCGCACCTGTAATAGTGAATATGACGTCAGTGTTTCCTGTTTATCGCGCGTGATTTAGAAAATACGTACGCGACCATATTGTTTAGAGTCCCTCTCGTCAAATAGTAAAGTGTAACATATTTGTAACATATTTTAATCGATGCTAATGAAAAATTCGGACAAAGGGGACTATAGCAAATTATTATTTTTTTCTGCAATATTTTTGTGTAATTATAAAAATTATTACTGATGTGCATATGGAATACATTTCGTTGTGAATTATTTTTCATATATTTCTGAATTTTCTTGTTAAAATCAGTTGTTTTCAGACCCCCCCCCAAAAAAAAATCACAATGTCAAAAACGGAATGTCTGATATGAAATATATTTTGTTATAATTTTTTCTTAATGTATATTTCTTATTTTTAGGTTTAAATCAGTTGTCTCCCTAAAAAAAACGAAAAAAATTCACAATGCCGTAAACGGAAAGTCTTTTTCGTAGTGTTAAAACATTAAAAAACCTTTGATTATTTCGTAATTGGGCTATTGGAGATGAAATTATATTTCAATTTATATTTATATTCGCGGATTAGTATGTGACCTTTCGTACGGTAAGCCGTGAAATGTAAGAAGATAACTAATCAAAAGTAGTTCCGGTAAAATTATTTTTAAAGGTTGAACATAATTTTGAAGGTATACATGTATATTTAGACAGTGCTGGGTTGATAATTTTGGAGCTTTGTCACAATTAGAAATAATCAAATAATACTCATAAAATAATCTCCAACTGAAGGTTGAGCAATTCTAATGAAAAATTCGGACTAATTAACCGACGCGAAATACCTGCCCTATTATTGTTTGCTGTCACCCAGAATCAAGGTCATGATCGATGTTTTTAACTTGAGAAATAGTCAGCCAACTCCTCAAAAATAGTTCGATAAAATAGTAGTGTGCTTATATTCTAAGAATGTTATTACTGTTTTAATTCTGAAAGTCCAAAAACGCTCTGAATCACGGCTATTTGAAATCTCGTGCACGAGATTTCCACCCCCCCCCCAAAAAAATAAAAATCGTTCGATGAATACGTTATCTTCCGTCGCTACATGACGCGTGAGTTGAGCGTGAAGTCTTGCATTATAGCCGCCCCCTACATCCATCTTTTGTCTTCGATTTCGCGTACATATGTTAACTCATCGTGTCATACTGTCTGTACTGAGTAATAGTCAACATGCTTGCCACGCACAATGCTTTCATTGTCCTCGATAAAACAGAGGGCACAAACATTAATTGAAATATGGGTTATTTTACGTGTTGTGACAGCAGACGCTGAATTATCACTGATAAATTGCCTTAACATACTGTACTATTAGCGCGCCCTAACTACACGAATTATTTCATATTCACATTCATCAAATTGGCACACAAACGGAGGTGTTATACTGTTTCATCTGTCACAGGAAGTGACGCATTTCTGCGATTTCTGTGACGTATCACCGCGTATAAAATACAATGTATATTTATATGGATATATCCAGCTCAACTGGGTGTGATTGAAAGCAGAATACCGCGGAACCTTTCGGTAAAATTACTTACATTAAATTATAAGAAATATCATTCCATAAGGGACAGAACAATTTTTACAGTGGGGAAAATTGGGCGTCAAAACAAAAGCCTAAAACACAAACACAAAAACATGCGTATAACAAACCTGGACATTTTGGAAGTAAAATAAAATAATCATTACTAAAATATAAAAAGCATATCCCAACAGAAATATTGTCTTTCCCCAAAAAAGAGAACTGACAATGAACTAATTGTCAACATCCCATTTCGAACACCTGGCATCGCCATTACGTTCATTCGTATAGGGGTCACGGAAAGCTGTTTGATCTTCCCCTTTGAATGTCAATACGCCGACATGATTCACTATGTCTGTGTGTCCAATGGATAACAAATGCGACCGCGCATTGCACGTATTCACACAACTTATTGTGACGTCAGGTATGTTTGTTTGTTAAATGATTACTCACCTAGATCCTCAAGGTACATGTACAGAAAGCTCACTATGACACCGTTACAAGCACCCATGAAAAATGACGTCAACAAGATGGACATATAATAAAATGACATGAGAAATGCAGCCACCGCTTTCAGACTATGAAGAGATTTAATCGGCATTACATGCTGGAAAAGAAAAAAATCTATGATTATTAATTGCGGATCTACAAAAAAACACGTTACGATAAACTTGAAGACTTTCCGTTTTCGACATTTCATTCAGCCTTTTTCAGGCATTGTTGCCTCCCTAAAAGAACGAAAGAATTTCACAATGTCGAAAACGGAAAGTCTTTATCGTAGTGTTAAAACAATTAAACTACATTTGATTATTACGTAATTAGGATATTGGAGCTGAGATTATATTTCAATTGATTGATATTTATATTCGCGGATTAGTATGTGATCTATTGAACGCTAAGCCGTGAAATGTAAGAAGATCACTTATCAAAAGTAGTTCCGGTAAAATTATTTTTAAAGGTTGAACATAATATTGAAGTTATACATGTATATTTAGACAGTGCTGGGTTTACGCTTTTGGAGCTGATTCGCAAGCGGGGCATATTAAAATATTAAAATAATGCGCAGAAAATAATCTTCAAAGCAGTGTGATGAATTTTTTTTTAAAACGATGCAGTTTAATTTACCGTGATTAAATTTTATAAAAACAGTAATTGGTCAGTTTATGTGAGATTTAAAACAATTTCATCATATTTGCTCTGTGTGCCTGGTTATGTATATTAGATTCTCAGCTTATGATTTACCGTTGGACAGAGAAGTTCAAACATAAATAGTATTGGTCCCTATGAGATCTTCCGACTCTATGATGTGTGTGTATCATCGTCACATCAAACTTAACCCATAATCAGATAAACACGTGAATTACACAGTGCGAACATTTATAGTTAAAACCAAATCTAAGCTATTTATGTTTGAAATTTCCGTGACTGATGGATCGAAACGGAGATCTTGAATACAAATTTTAATACAGTGCATACATTCAGGTGTACATCGGTGTTTTGGTGTCAGCGTGCAGCCACTGGACCGTGACTGGATGTAATTGCCACGAAAATGCTTCAATAATGACACGAATGTCAGGTCAATTTATTTGTTTATTTATTTTGTGAACTGGCATTTAGTACGATGGTTAGAGAGAGTTGCTGGTATGTGTTATCGGACGTACACGTGTTTTTGTTTATTTGTGTTTTCAAGTCAACAAGCGGGAAAAGGTGGGATATATTCTGATGAGGTGCTGAAGTGTTCGAGTTACGGACATGGAGTTATGAAAAACATCGAGTTAAAAAACTGACCACGCCCAAATTGTAACTCGATGTTCAATTAACAGTTTAACTTTCACATACTCTCCATATGACTTCAAATATTGGTTTTGTGCTAAATATGTCATATAATAGTACCACAATACCAATTGATCTCAGATTAAAATGGCCGCCAAAGTAACGTCAAAAGCGGGACGAGTCACGAGATTATTTTTTTTTCGTCAAATATTTGTCCATTCTTCGCCTGATTTATGTAACCATAACCAGAACCATTTGGATCAGTAAGCGCAATGACGAGAGAAAAAGGAACTCCATAATTTGCAAAACTAGTACAGTCTCATTCTCAACGAGATTTCGGAAGTCATTCGCCTCTAAGGTCATTTCTGATGTATCATTTTCCGAGTGTAACCTAGTAATATATTAGCTCCCAAATGGGCAGGAGCAGGCCATGGGACGTCACAATATCGCGAGAGTTAAACGATCGAGTCGATGATGCATTAATTATAGTAATACTGACGTGAACGAGGTTGGCCTCGTTTTCGTTGTCTTACCGTGTAGTCAAAACCCATTACGACCATGATAAGCGCCAGCACGTTCCATGCAATGGCGACGTAGAAAGCGATCTTGTAGTCTGTGTAGATCAGAGTATTTCCGCATTTCAACCAGTAAAACGTAACTATTTGGAGAAATACGCCGGTCACGAGTGACCTAAAAGGAAAAAATATGTCAAATCAAAAGTGAATTGTATAAGGTTATCAGAAATTTGCATGATCTCATGCGGAGACGTGCTGAACTCGTACATCGCGTGACGTGATATCGTGTATACAACAAGACGCATGCACACCGTGAGAAAAAGCAGCAAAGAATCTAGAGAGAAACACGCGTGATTTGTTCCAGAAATGTCACGTACCGGCTATTTTGAATACTCTGAAGATGATGCAAAAGGTGACATGGGGTGACATTACTAAGTCCGAAACAGTGTTGATGTCGAACTAAAGGCAACTAAAAAGCTGTGTAATTGTGACTTTGTTCTTTAAATACTTATTCCCGCGGAAATCGATCCAGTTCAGTATGAGTAACGCGAAACTTTTTGTGTTGTTTTGTAATTTACTGAAAAAATATAATTGGCTTATCAAAGGCCGGGAAGATTACACCAACATGAAAGTGTCGTCAGGCTGGTAGCGCGTGTGATATGCAATATATTGTATATTTCTTGTATTATTTAGTACCATACGATAATAAAGTAATATACTCACATTACAGATGCCATTATTTCTTGCCATACAAGTTGGTGTCCAAGTTTATAAAAGTTTTCCTCGCCAAGATGACTCAGCGTCGCTGTCCCGCTCAAGCACAAATGCGCACTCGATAGCAACTCTCCAACTACGATTACAATCAACACGGTGACGAAAATGTGGTGTAGACTGGCTTTGTCGTACAGCCGTGAGGATTTCTCATAAAACCATCGGTCTTGTATGAGACCGTTAAATCCAACAGGCCATCT